TATTCTATTCAAAATGAACAAAATTCCAGTAATCTCTGAAGAGGTGATTCTACCGATATACTTAAACAATTTTCTCCAAGAATCAGATTGAAAAGTTGTATTTTTGACCTTTAGAGAAAAATATTTACTGCCATGGACAGTTTCCCCGAAATTTCTTTTTTAACATAATGTTAATAATATACTTAATTAAGTATATACCTATCTATATTTAATATTTTAATAAAACCAGAAATAAACTACTATTATACTCTAAAAAATTCCAAAATACCTAGCAGCTTATTTCTTTCGTGCCGACTTGTGCCGACCTGTCATTCAAAATCGGTTACAGTCTTGAGATTTGCTATCCTTTTTTTGTTCCCTTGCACACTATGGCCGTCGATACATTCTAATTTTCATATTTCTACACTCTAACATATAAACTTCAACCATACCAAATATTTCAGTCTTCAGTGCGTGCAATATGCTTAAAAAAGGTACAGAGTTTTCTCTTCGCGTATTAATATTATAAAGATTTTATTGCAGTTCGTAGAGTTTCCGATAAATTCACCATTTCGGGAAAGTTTATTCGACACTATCCTACACAACGGCCATAAAAAATTAAACAATGTAAGAAGAAATATACAGCGCGATGATAACAGTTTACTATTAATAAAATATTAGATCGGATTGTTTGAACTATCTCCTTTTAAGCTCAGGGGATTATCTGCATGCTATGTCTGTTTGCCCGGGCAATCTTCAGAATGATCCAATCGCAATGAAACTTTGTGATGGAGAGCAATGCCACGAGTAATATAGGCTACATTTTTTTTCCGGAAAAAGTACAAGAAATATTTCAAATTTTTATAAATTGTACATTTGCACTGATTCAACAAGACTATGTTACTTAATTGCATCAGCCACTCGAGCAATTGGGTTCAAACGATTCTTTGAAATACTGTGTGGTTGCGCCATAATAGAATCTATCACTCTTGGGGTCGTAAGAGGTGACTATGGAACATGCCAAAAATATCTAGTGGTTGTCGTAAAAGGCGTAGCCTTTTTTTATGAATTTGGTTTTTGGTGTGTGTCCATGGACAACGTTTGTTTGCAACTTCGTGTTGGATATAAAAATAAAAATACTTTTTTAATAATCTCTTGGTCATTCTTTTTTTAAACAACGGTTCAAAGAAGCAAATAGGCTACAAATGCACTGTCATCGCTGCGGACTATGAGGGAATGCCTCATACCATTTAAATAATGTTGGTTCCCTGTATGTAATTTTCAGATCTGAACACACATAGTACCTAAGTAGTATGAATACTAAGAAGGTACATATCCAGACTTACTCCTAGTCAGAAAATTGCTAACGCCTATTAAATTCCAGGGAAGAGAATCGAAAATGAATAACTATTACATGTTGATTGCATGGATTTGCCCTATCTTAGTCGTTTTAAATTCTTCACTAAGATTATTGATATTACGGTAACGTAATCCAATACAGTTGTGATTTTCATCCATTAGAACATCTTTGAAATACTGTCCAGGAGCATTTAAAATGAAAAAGTCATCATAATCTTTATCATCAATATGAATAACATCATCATCATTATTAAGCGTCATTACAGCCCATCACAAGTCCACTGCTCAACATAGACATCCCTCAAACACAGTCATGAAATTACAGGAGAAAAAAAATTTAAGTGCTTGCGCTCATCTTGAATGATCATACGTTGGATATAAAATACACGGATAAGCAATGACAAGTAGCGTAAGGAAAGGCCAGGTAAAGGGATTGGTTATCCATCTGCCACGCTGAACGATTAACAATAATTCTACCTATTATACAAGGGGTCCATGTCGAGTAGAAGACTCTTTCGGGTACATTCGTTATCTCAATATTCATGCTTATTGTTAAACCGTATATTATTTACTTAAAGAAAATGTTATTTTTGTTAACTAAAATTAAACTTTTAATTAAAATAAATTAAAAAGAAAGCAAAAAGTAACTTTGCCTTCAGGTACGTGTTTCCCCTGCGTTCTATTCCTAACGCGTCATGCGAGTAATCGATTTGTCTGGACGCAGCTGAGCTGTGGCTTTCGTGACTGAGCGAACTTTCACGTTACTACGATGTTAGCGATCCCTTAAGCATAAACGTACTTTATGTTCTCGCCTATTCCAAACTACACAGGTGAACGAGTGACTTAAGTATGTAATTCGGATGTAAAATTAGATCAGACAAATCGTCTTTGCAGCTGTAGTTCGTATCGTCGTAGTACATTAAAAATGAGATAATATAAAATAATAACTGAAAACAGTGTTATTTTTTTGTCTACACGCCATCAAATTAGGTGTCGGGATACTTACTCGACCCCGGCAGCTTCCTTTCCGGGCGGTGAGAGTAAAAGCTCTGTGAGTGGCCGCCCATCAGGTGGGCGCGCATGTAAAGACGCTAAATTTTGAATGTGTGAGTGTGGCCCGTTATCTGCGAGGTCAACAACTGTCTCGCGGTACGGGCCACAATTTCATGTATTGACTCGATCTTGAGGTCTCTGGCTATTATGCCATTTCACACGTAGTGGCCTGCTCCCACGTTCACTCGAAGAGCAAGGTTCTGCTGGGCTTGCAACCTCTTGCGCTGAGTAGCCAATGTCAGCGCGTACCAGGCGCTGCGTATGTCAGCCGTGAGCGGATGTAGCTCTTATAGATGGTAATTTTGGTTTTTAGCGGAGGAGTGTGGATGCCAGTATAGGGTAGAGTTTCGCTCGTGCGACTCTGGTCTGTGCCAAGACTTGGTCGACCATCGGTTACGCGCAACGAACGATCTATCTGGAATCCTAGGTAGGAGACAGTTCTTTTCCAAACTACGTCCTGCCCACGGAGTCGCAAGGTTGGTGGAATGCGTGTCAGCCTGGTCATGAAGGCGGCGATATTCCCGACGCTAATCGCTATCCTCCATCTGTCCAGCCAATCGGGTAACAAGTCCAGCAGTCTCTGCTGCTTCCTAGCCGTGATTATTTATTACTGATACGTCTTATGTGCTTAAAACATTTATTATCAAAATCAAAGGAAAATATTTTTAGTACTTAATTCGCATGACATAACTGATTGCTATGTAATACAGGACTCTAAGTTAGTACAAGTATCGACACGTGGATCACCATAGATTAGTAAGAAATAGGTTTTATAATTGTCTTATATATCACTTAGAAAGTTAGTTTTCATACTACATAACGCATTTTTAATTTATAAACTAGCTGTTGGAAAATATGGAACGTTACAACTTATGCAAGCATGACATGCCACTGGCGTTATCATCATATAACAGCAACAGGTTAACTGGAAATCATTTGCCAAAATTGCAGTGTAGATTTTCGTGATTAGATCACTTTACTAAATCCCTTATCAGGAGTTTATAAACTTGTAATGATATTGTTTCATAAATATGCTATCTTCTATATTGGTATTTCGTTAACTTGTTTTATATATAAATGTATGTTTTGTATATGGTATGAGTATATGTCGTCACTGGCGTAGGTACTGGTTGTACATACATGTTTATTGTGGTTGAATTATTAATCTTTGCGCTAAAAACACTCTTTGACAACTTCGAGTGTGGTACTCCGAACAAACACGAGCAGTATAGGTGGACGTTACAAGACCTATGCTTAAAACATAAAATATGAATATGAGACGTGGTTCTTTACTGTTAGCTATACGAAGCATTTCAAAGTCGCTCAGTGAGAATTTCAGTCAGTGATAGACTTCGAAATGAAGATATTCGCTGTAGATTGTTTGTATGGCTGCAGCGTGGCTCTACCACGTAATATTTATGCCCTTAATTGAATTAAGCGCTCGTTTTAAATATAGTCTAGAAAAGTCTAAATATGCTACTATACAGGTTGCTATTCGAAAACCAATTGGTCGACTCTATTTTAGATTCAATGTCGTAACTCGTAATGTATGAGTTTTAAGTATCTGAACACTAAGCCAAACGTTCGTAGTCATTTTCGAATCATATCGTATACTTACTAATTTAAGATTTAAAGATATATGTTGTGATCATCCATGCGTTGTTTGTATTTAATTATAAGATTTAAAACTAAAAGAGCAACTTCGTTAGTAATGTGGAAGTGGTACAACAGAATCCTATCAGCCTATTTTGCCCCATGGGTGACGTAAGAGGCGGCTGTAGGAAATACCAGAAAAATCTAATAGCTTCCGAATGATCGCGGTATAATTATCTCGTTTACTGCAGAATTATAATACCCAGATCGGCGAATGCAGCATCGACAAACGGACATCGCGTCGGTCGAATCACGAAGGGGCGTATCCCACAAATATTCGATTTTTAGTTATCTCCACCATCGTAATCTATAAGGCAAGTTTTATAGCGTCACGAAAGGGCGTAATTTAAAACACACCGGAAACAGATTTACAAACAATTACGAAAAGCCCTATCTGCTATTCATCCCAATTTAAAAATCACGAATAGTCGTATCCACCAGTTACGCCTATTCTTACCTGTTCCCATGCAATTTTTTTTTCACGAAGAGGCGTAACCTATCTAACGTGATTACGCGAGTGAAACAATGACAGGTCAAGACGTGTTAAGCAGTCGAGCGAAGTTAGTTGCAAGTTAATAAGGTGCATTGTTTGTTTACGAATATTAAAATTAATAAAATTCTGTCTTCAAAGTGAATGAATACTTATTTTAAGAGTTACTTTTATTTGTGTTTTATACAAATCACAAGGTTATTTTACAGTAATGTACCTATTGCTTTTAAACGCATAGTTACCTAAAAGATGAATTAATATTTTAGGTTAAAATTTTAGAAAAGTTATTTATTTGTTATTGCAATGTTTTGTTACCTAAACCATAGTTTAAATAATATGCAAGTTACAATGTCAGTGTTTAACTATTCCTAAATGTGACAGTGTGTAATTAATTTTCTTATTTACGGTTAAATTATTCTTTACAGATACCTACTATCTACTTAACTTTCTGTGGGATGGTTTTTCAATGATGGACGTGTTAGTTACATGGAAAGATGGCACTCAAAATGTTGTACACACACGGGAATTATTTCCAATCAGAAAAGGTCAGAAGATAACACTTGGTACAAAGGTGAAAATGTTGTATGAACGAAAATGGTGGTATGGTACAGTAACTGTTGTCGAAGCAAAAGAATACTCTTCGTCTGAAGACGAACCACTTTCAACTTATGTTCCTGCAAACCGTGTGCAAAATTGCTGCGAGTACATTAACTGTCATAATCCTATTTTGACTACTTGTACGGAATGTGCTTGTTTCTTGTGCGCTGAACATTACCAAGAAGACGCTTCCTGCTCTAATCATATTTTAGTTAGCAATAACATATCCACATCAAAAAATCAGGATACCAGCTATGAATTATCATTAACCAATTCAGAAAAAAAAATTTATGATACAGTATGCACTGATGAAAATTATATAGATATACAGAATGAATACCAAAAATGCTGTCAGTTTTCGATTTGTACTGATGAGGTATTTAGTGCATGCCATCGTTGTTCATGTCTCCTTTGTTATGAACATTTTGTCAACAATTGCTCTACCTGCGAAAATCATCTAAACTTTGAAGCTGACTTGACGTTAACAGAAACTTTAAAATTTGATTTTGGGCAAACTGATATGCAGCAGACTTGTGAATATGCCAACTGCACTAACCCTGTACTAACGACATGCTTTGCTTGTTCTTGTTTACCGTGTGATATTCATTTTGCGTCTGTGCTTTATATGCAATCATGTTCTGATCATAAAAAAAAATCCAGCCTCGCTTGCTGATTTCGATATTACCGAAATTGAGAATGTTTCAAACGATTCTGATGCAACTATGGTCTTATCTGACACTCGCGACTCACCCAGTATTTTAATGCAGAATACAGTTTTGGAACCACAACAAGACAGTTATTTGGCCCCAGAAGACTTTATAGTAGATGGCGTTTCCCGAGAGGAAGAAAGATCGAAACCTGTTAGAAAAAATAAATACAAAGAAGCCAAGGTTTTGCGACACGCAGGACAAGAATATATTTCGCCATATACAAAAAAAGTAGTTCCTGGAAGGAAGGTTGGTTCATTATGCAATAATTTAGAAAATTGCACAAAGCAAGGCCTGTACTGTTATCGTTTTAATGAACAAATACGCGAAAATATATTTATGGATTTCTATTCATTAGCAGATCTAACTTTGCAAAGAGAATATATAGTGAGATTTGTTGAAAAAAAGCCCGTAGGGCGCAAAACTACTGCCACAGAATCTCGTCGGAAGTTTACCAACTGCTTTTACTTACCATTAAATGATGAGAAGCAGAAGGTATGCAAGAAAATGTTCCTCAATACTTTGGGAATTTCAGAAAAGACGTTTCGCACAGCTTTGCAAAAATTAAAGAACACCGGTGTAGTAGAAAAAGACAGAAGAGGAGGAAGGCAAGAGGTCTATCATGAAAGGGATACTCAGCTGCGATCACTCATTACTGAACATATTAACAGATTTCCGCGTGTTGAGTCTCATTATTGTAGAAAAAGTAGTACAAAAGAATATCTCCACCATGATTTATCTTTGAAAAAAATATATGGTATGTTTTTAAAGGAGTATAACCAACCCGTAAGTATGACACTTTATAGAAATGTATTCAAAGGCATGAATTTATCGTTCCATAAACCAAAAAAAGACCAATGCAGTTTATGCATGACATACAGAGAAGGTACAAGCGAGGTGAAAGAGAAGCTGCAGAATAAATATGATGCACATATTATAGAAAAAGAAGAAGTACGACGAATTAAAAACGAATGCAAGAATCGAGCAATACAAAATATAACCACTTGTTGTGCTTCGTTCGATTTACAGCAAGTCATCTATTTGCCACAATCCAATGAAAGTGCTCTTTTTTATAAAAGACGTTTGGCTAATTATAATTTCACAATTTATGATTTAGCCTCCAAAGACTGTATATGCAACTTATGGAATGAGACAATCAGTAGAAGAGGTGCCTCTGAAATTTCTACTTGTGTTTATTATTTCTTAACAAATTGTGATAGAAAGATTGTGAAAGAAGTATTCTTATTTTGCGATGGCTGCTCAGGCCAGAATAAAAATTCCGTGATGGCGGCTATGCTCTTATACTTAATAAATAATTGTGAATCTATTGAAGAAATTAGTTTACGATACTTCTGTTCGTTCCATGGGCAAAGCGAGGGCGATTCTGTCCATAGCGCGATAGCATTTGCAATGGCAAAGGCTGGGAACGTCTTTGTTCCATGCCAATTGGAGCCGATCATACGATTGGCACGCAAAAATCCATACGAAGTCAAGGTACTCAATTACAATGATTTTAAGGATTTTAAAAATCTTGCCTTAAAGTTAAGGTTACTTAAATTAAAAAACGATAACCAGACAGCCGCCCTCTTTAAATGGACAGATGTTATGGAGTTAAAAGTCTCACGAAAGTCTCAAAGTAGTCTATTTTTTAAAACGAGTCACAAGGATAAAGAATACAGATCGATATCAATAAAAAGACAAGATGTTAAATGGCTGAAGGAAGAGGTGGGACATTTAAATAAATCTCATTATGAGATATCTAAAGAAAAATATAACGATTTAATTTCTATGTGCAGGGGAGAGACCCCTTTGATAAGATGCCGGGAATATCAAACTTATTATGAAATCCTACCACATCAATAAGATATTGTTCCATTACTTAATATTACAGTCTTTCTTTATTTAATAGTGTTTTAATTTATAGTCTTTTATTTCTTTTATAGTTAAGATAGCCGGACGTAAATGTTATTTTGAAATATTTGCACATGACAAAAGGGCGTAAGTGAATTTTTTTCAAAAAAAAAGGAAATATATCTACAAGTAACTAAAGTAAACTAATAAACTAATTTAATATCAAAAGAGGATTAGTTATCAATCCTAACGACAGTCCTGTAAACTGCGTAGTAGTTTTACATATAAAGTTACGACGGTGCATCACGGTGGACTTTATTGAAAATCGCTCTACTGTAAAATTGACTAAAATCACTTACGCCCCTTCGTCATTCGACCGATTCGGACGTCTGTTGCTGGAATGGTCAATCCGCCTACTTAGTGTGACAATTAAGGCAAATGCTCCCTTCAAAGTTGAAGACCCATGATCAACAGTGAACTTTTACGATCTGATGAAAAAGAAATAAGAGTACCACGTCATCATCATCATAATTACAGCCTTTCACCAGTCCACTGCTAAACATAGTCCTACCTTAAGGAATGCCACAAAGCACGGCCCTGAGCCACCTGCATCCATCGACTCCCTGCATGAATTACTAGATCGTTACTCCATCTTGTGAGGGGGTCGTCCTACTCTACGTTTACTGGTACGAGACTGCCACTCGAGAATCTTTTTCTCCATCGGTTGTCGATTCTTCGTGCTATATGGCCCAGCCGATTGCCACTTCAGCTTACTAATCCGTCGGGCTATATAGACTACTCTGGTTCTACTGCAAATGTCCTCATTTCTAAGTTTATCACGCCGAGAAACCCCGAGCATAGCCCTCTCCACAGCTCGCTGAGTGACCTTGAGCGTCCTTATACCTACCTATATAATAAAAGTTTATTAGCAATTAATCATCGTTACATGTATAAGGAATATATATGTCGCTGTAAGATAGTAAAAGCCGTGATATAGTCATATCCCTATACAGCTATAAACCGTATTATAGTAGTATATGAAATCGGTTCATAACTGTACTAATCTAGTAAAATAATTATAATTGACTTTCACTTTTCGAAATTAAAAAGTAAATTTTTTTCTAATATTATTTTTATATCATTATAATGTCCACGGCTTTAGGGTGGTTTTCACCCCACCCTACCCCAGCTGCACCTTAACCAACTGTGAAAAAAGGAACATGAACAAAACTACGACAGTAACATAAGATCCAACGTTAAGTTTTCAATTATAATTAATTCACGAGATTAGTCTAGTAAGATAGTTACGAACCGCTTTCATATAACTATATCTCGACTTTGACTACCTTACTACGACATATAATATGAAAGCAGTTTAGAACTTATACGAACCGAACTAGTAAAATAGGTTTTCTTGCACGGCCATAAAATGGCTTATTATCATCGAACATTGGATTCTGAATTAAAGTAATTAATCATAAATCTGAATAGATATATGACAAACTTTAAAGTTAAGCACTTAGAGCCTGCTTTCGTACTTAACTTAAATTAAGTATCTCCATAAATTTCGCTTCAACTTAACTTTGGGCAATTCTCTACACCTGAGTCCAGCTGCTGGTTTTACCATCAGACACTGTTATTGCTGTAATAATTTGTTTTCTCAAGTTTAAGATCTTCCCCGTCTTCAAAAAGTAGGATGAATTATTCATTCTATTATTCATTCATTTTTAAGTATTTAATACACGGTAAATATTTTTATTTATCGATATAGATGTGTTATCAGTGATTTCATATAAATTTAATTCAAGTGTTGTTATAAGTCCGGCGATTTGCGATTTAAAAATTATGTTTTACTCGAGAAAAAGGAATTCGATTCCGCCGGCACCAATAAATCGTTAATTGCAATTTTTAATGCTGGTTTACCAAAATTTCAGGGAAAAAGCAAATCAATAAGGAAAGACTGGAGAAATGTGCATATCTAAGGAATAAAAAAAATCGTTGACACGTAATTTAACGCATTGGGACTGCGTGACTTATTCCTCTCTGCTAACGCCTCACAAAAATGACAAGAGGCCTGTGATGGCATACTTAAGCCGATCATTTTCTTTATATTTTTAAATTACCCAATCAGTTTATGTCATTATGAAGTAAAATTGTAGGCATTATATTATTAGCTAAAGGATTTTTCGCAGTAAATAAATGCGTTGGGTGGAATATTATTCTATACATGAATCACGTCATTGAAATGATATCCAATGCCCGTTTTTTGATTAATGAATAGATATAAAAGTTGGTATTCATTATTAATCTGGCAACTTGAAAGAGGTTTATCACAAAGTCGATGCATATGATATTTTCTTTGAAAAATATTTTTAAAAATATTCTATGAATTTAAGCTTTCTTTAGGACATTTACTTTATACGTAATAACTTTGATGCGGCTAAATATTTTATAGGCTTGCTATAAACCTCTGTACGTAGTAGTCTCAACCAGCACTAGAAGGTATATTTTTTGAAGTAATTAAGTTATAAATATGAAATTTAAACTACAATTATACTTACTTAAAATCAGTGTGTAGGTTTGATAAGTATCTTAATTATTTTAGAACAAAATGACATACAAAGTCCAAGGGAATGTGCAAAGAGCATAGTGATTGCCAGATAGAATGATAAACAAGAGTAGGCAACGACAGAAAACGGCAAATTGTGTAAGCTCCTCTTAAAACTCACTTTTAAAGATTGATTATTCAATTCTCAGATAAAATTTACATATAAAATAAAATACAAATACAAATATTTTATTTATAAAAATACAGTTTTATATATAAAATAGTTTAATAGTTCGATTTTATATTCAGTCAGGTAGATTTATTTGATGGATAACATTTATCTGACGATTGAAAAATCACCCCTAAAAAAATAAAATAAAAATTTTACGTTGGATCTATAACATATATTATTATCTAATAACCGATAAAATGGTAATGGTAATAAAATGGTATGATCGCCATTATGTCAAATGGAGAATGTCCTTTTTTGTTTGAAATCGGCTAAAAATGTAAAGAGATGCAACATCTCTTTGCAAGAACAATGAAATAACTAAGAAAAAAAGGAACACTTTATTTTGGCACAGACCATTGACGTACACACAAATATACTAATTTATATCAAAAATACTAAGTTTTTAAATAAATTTGGCTTTATACTACGCCAAAACGGTCATTAGGGATGTCCGTTAGTTACGTGAGGTGATTTCGGCGACTTTTCTACCCTCATACTCCCCCTGGTGAGATGATGTGAGATATGGCTCGACCCCCTCCCCCCCCCAAAGTTTCTCGTGACATATATTGAAAATACATATTTTAGTATAAATAAATTAATTTTTGCTTGATTACACTGGGTTTCATCATAATCATCATTACAACCCTTCACAAGTCCACTGCTGAACATAAGCCTCCCCCAAGGAATACCACAAAGCACGATCCTGTGTAACCTGCATCCATCGACTTCGCGCATGTTTTAACAAGGTGTTACTCCATCTAGTGGGGGGTCACCCTACCCTCGCTTACCGGTATGCGGCTGCCACTCGAGAACTTTTTTCCCATCGGTTATCGGTTCTTCGAGCTATGTGGTCGGCCCATGGAGGCTATAGCTTACTAATCCGATGGTCTATGTCAATCACTATGGGTCTATTAAGGATATCCTTGTTTCTAAGTTTATCACGGAGAGAAACCCCGATCATAGCCCTCTCCACAGCTCGCTGAGGAACCTTGAACGTCCTCATATGGCCAGTGATGTACCAGGTCTCAGATCCATAACTCGTCACTGGCAACGCGCACTGGTTGTACAATCTGGTTATTAGGTTTTCAGGTATACCTGACGAGAAGATATGTCGTAATTTCCCGAGTAGAATCCGACTAATGACCTCTCGGTCGAAGTAAGACTTACCTAGTTTTACTATTTGTCCCAGGTAAACGTACTATACAACAACTTTGAGCTTAGTGCTCCCAACAACTACTGGCATAGGTATCTTAAGACCTATCCGTTGAGAGACACTATTGAAGTAATTTAGCGTAGTGCTCAGGTCTTCCAGTGATTCTGCTAAAAGGACTATATCGTTTGCATATCGAAGGTGAGCGATGTACTCGCCATTGATGTTAATACCATATCCTTTCCAGTTCAGTAGCTTGAAAACGTCTTCTAACGCAGCGGTAAAAAGTTTTGGGAATATAACGTCACCCTGTCTTACATCTCCCTGCAGTGGATAGGTTTCGTATTCTGGTTATGCACTCGGATAGGCATCGTAGCCCCACTGTAAAACACTTCAGAACTTCAATATACCGACAGTCAACTTGGCACCACTGAAGAGTCTGTAAGTACCGCTCAAATTTCGACGGAATGAAAGGCTTTCTCATAGTCCACATACGCAAGTCATTGTGGCAGATTGTACTCTTCTGTCTTCAGTATAATTTGCCAAAATTTCTATGGTATCCGAAACCTTTTTTGAAACCTGCTTGTTCGGGAAACTGGAAGTGGTCGAGTCTGCTTAGTAGACGATTCGTAATGACTTTCGAAAACAGCACGTAGACGTGACTCGGAATGAAAATAGGTATGTAGTTCTTCAAGACAGCGTTGTCACCTTTCTTGAAGAATAAGACCACCAGAATTTTGCTTCAAGTCTTCTGAGTAGTTCTACCATGGAGAAATGAATTTAAGAGCTTCTAAAAGAGTTTGAGTACCGGCTTTTCATTAGATTTCAGAAGCTCTGCTGTGATTCCATCCTCGCCTGGAGCATTGCCGTTTTTAAGGTGATGGAGAGCCAATCTGATTATTGGAATAGTGTAGAACAAGTCTTGCCCTTGAATGGTTACTCACACTTGCGTGTGGCTCTAAAAATGATGTGTACATCTATGCCATAGAACCTCTCAATCTCACTCAAAATCTCAGGTGTTCCGGAAACGATGCTGCCACACTGCTGCTCATATCTGTTAAAGACTTCAGCTTCATTTTCCG